GTAATAATTTGAGAACTCCTTGGCAAACCTCATAGAATGAAGTATATACTTCATGTTTAACATATATTTGCTATGTTTAATGAATTTCTAAGCTTCAGAGATGGCTTAGCGCATAAAAAGTTTTCAGGGCATTATGAGCAGCTCAGTTTGAAGTACCCTAATCCACGTGAAGTCAGACATGGTATTGTATGTCTCTATGGAAATAGTCCTGTTATTAAAAAAAAAATAGGCATAAATTAGAGAATTCCTGGACCTTTGTGGACTACCTGTAAGGAAAAAAAATAAAACAAACAAGAAAATCTGTCTCTATCAGGAAAGACATCAATTGAACATCTGAGACAGTCTTCTCCATGTCACACACTCAACTTCGTACATGTAAATACGCACTCACACACATCAAATGTCTCATCTATGCTCCAACACATACAGAACACACAGTGAGGGAGACAGACAAAAAGTTAAGAAATGGGGGAAGAAAGTCCCAATCTCAATGATAATTCCAATAATGTGGGCACGCAATCAAATTTTATATGCACATTTTCCTCCCCTTAGTGGCTAGAGATATATATTAATATTCTTAGAATCCCAAAGCAAAACTGATTTCCCATGAAGAGATGATAATGATAGAGTTTTGAGTTCATGTGAGTAAAAAAACCACATGTACAAAATCTGTGTAGTAAGAAAACAGACCAAATCTGAGCATAGAGCAGGGAGAGGGGCAAACAATACACACAGAACCATGGACTCTTGACAACTATTATCTTGTGATAGGGAAAGAGTGCAGCCCCTGTGAAGTCAACCATTCTCTAGTGGAAGATCACATACACAAGAATATTTGACATGCACAAAATGGTCTTGAAGTTGTTGTTGTTGTTGTTGTTGTTGTTTTAAGGATACTTAGGTTGATAAGGAAGTGGGTGATTTACAGATTATGGTAGTAAGGAATAAATTTTAAGAAGCACATTATATAAAATTCTTAGAGAAACGAAAAAAAATGTCAATTTCTCTTGGTGTGGTCACAGTCATCATTTGTACAGCAGGTATAATCCCAGGATAGACCTGATGCCTACATGTTCTGAACCGTTTGTTCACAACAATTGCTCTACAAAGAGCATGTGTCTTTTAAGGTAAAGTTGGTATAGGAGGTTTGATATCTGTGTTTAAGTCCTACTCTGTCACCATGCCAGAGGAAATGGGGGATGAAAGATACATGCAATAGCCAATTTTATTCAGAAAATCAAATAACTTATACTCTGAGAGTTAGCAAAGGTCTTCTGAGTACATATCACATGAGTTCAAGCTGCATACAGTCATAAAGATGAGCTGTGTGTGGTAAAAACATGTTTTTACATCGAGGCTCAGAAAGAAGTTTATACAGTATTAGGATACCAGTAGCAAGCAGACATGGCTAACCTGAAGTAGACCTACACTCATCAGCTATATCTCAGACAAACACACATTCCAAAAACAATATCTTGATGTGAAGAAACTAAGGTAAAAGTCTTCTGTCCTGTTTTCTTTGGTCATTTTCAGAGCACTCAAAAGTCTACTCATGTGAGTCTCTTTCTGGATCATTTTCTAATATCTGCCTCTTTTTAATTTTTTTCTTTTCAGCCTTTTGGCAAACTTTTTTAGATTTTTATTTATTTATATTTCAAATGTTACACCCCTTCCAGGTTTTCCTTCCACAAACCCATTATGCCTTTGCCCCTTCCTCCCACCTCCCCAGCTTGATGGGTGAGGAATCTCACTCATCCATCACCTACTCCCACCGCCTTATTACCTTAGCATTTTCCTACACTGGGACATCAAGCTTTCACAGTAACAAAGATATCCCCTCCAGAGAAAGGCAGATAAGGCAATCCTCTGGGGCCATGGGTGTTTTTGGTGTTTGTGTGTGTGTGTGTGTGTGTGTGTGTGTGTTGTTTTACATGTACATAAATCAAATTTTCCTTTAATACGTATTTGTAGACAAAAAAAGTTAAAGCAGCTAGAACCAACAGACAGAGATTATCAGGTGACGAAGGGATCTGTGTAACTTCTCCCTTGCTGCATAGAGTCTTTACCTGGCCTTAAGTGGGCAAACTTGACTTCTGAAGGTTTGTTCCATAAGTCCTTCTGCCTTTCTAGCTGGAGGGTTGCTGCCTTCATGATGACTGCACTATTCTCTCCCCTTTCACCTTTTTCCTTCATGGTCCAGGGCTAATGGAGCTTGAGAGGAATCCATAATCTTGTAGTGGAAACATTTGCAATGCCAGATGCATATTTTTTCCCAAATTTCTTCAGACAACCAGGCTTCCAAGTCTCAAATTGTTTAAACCTCTCAAGACTGTCTAAAAGCAGTGCAGTATATTCTGTGGATAAATGGTTTTGAGTTCTTGAACATGTATCACCTTCAGGAAAATTTCAAAAGAAGTGTAAATAAAGACAGAAAAAGGACATATCTTCATGCCTCCTGTTTTTATTTTTTAAATAATTGATATTTTAATGTTATGTTTACTCTTTCAATTATGCCCTGGCCTTAATGATTATGAAGAAATCTTACCATATGATAAATATTGCATTATTCACAGAAGGCTTTATTTTTAAGTTTTTTTCTAGTACAAATCTATATGCTACTTCTCAACTGTATGTAATTCCAGCTCTAGAGGATCTGAGACTCTTGCACAGACAGGCAGACAGAACACTAATGCACATAAAAATATAGGAACATATTTTTAAAGTAACATGTAGGCAACTAATATACCATAATAATTTTTGAAAATTGTTGAGTTTTTAAATGTCCTGTCTAATTGACACTTTTTTGGGTATTAACAGGTGTTCTTATTAACAGGCATCCCAAATATTATATCATGTCTGATCTTTGTGCTTTTTCAGGTGTAATGATAAGATCATTTTTATGTACCACATCCTGAATTTGTCCCCACTTTGTTTTTCAATAACATCTTTGAGTCTCTCTATGAAATCAACATAAATCTCTAAGGGACCTTGTATATTTTATATATAACTATACTTGAAATGAGATTCCTTATCAGTTTTCATTCAGGCAGCCATAGCTACATCTGTAATATGCTGGGGGCTGAATTTTACGCACCTGGTAATCTGTAGTTAATCATCTACTAATCCCTATCAGCATTTCATTGTGACATTTCTAGGATTATCGCTCATTCCCAGCTGGCAAACTTTTTCATGGACTTTATCTGAAAGCCACATTTGCCACTAAAGAGACTCAAAAGGGCTAAAAACCACTTTAGCAATTACGTGAAACATACGGCAAATACTGTGCCTTATTGCTCCAATGAAAATGATATTCCATATTCTATGGAACACTAGGTCCTTCTTAAAATCTCTCATAGTATCCATGTCTAATTCATGATAAACATTTTGATTTTACTGAAATTTTTTGAGAAGCATCAAGCATAGCTCATGATCCCAGAGAGGAATGGATCAATGAATTCCGTTTCATTGCCATATCCTAGCTTACCTAGGTTGTAAAATTAGTCTTTTCATAGGCTCTCCTAAATTCTCATCAAAAAGTGGGGAAACTCAAGATTAGATTGGAAATCAAATTTTTTATCCCATGCTACAGCATCAATTTTAGGCAATGTACCATACATATTTGAAGACTCCAGTAATGTCATTGAGGATTTGATCACCTGGAAAGTTACTAAGGATACTATTTTTTACTTTTGATTTTACCCATACTTGGAAATATTCCTTTTTTATATCTTTGACCAATTTTAAGGCATGTTCATCCTGTTTATATTCATCAGATGACTTGGCCATCAGTTCCTGGTGATTATTAACCTACTTATCTTCGTTAAGTATAGATAATAGTCTGTATCAAGGCCCACTTGACCAAAAATTGAAGGGGGATTCTTTCCATCATCTTTATATGCTTTTTCAATATTAATTCAGACTCTATTCCAGACTTCTTCATCTAAATTGCCATCTTCTGCACATTATGAATTATAATCACAAGGAATTTGAAATCAATCTAGTAGTTGTGACTTTGATATAGGTGCTTGTCCTTTCATTAAGAAATGATGGACAAGCTCAACATAGAGCATAGCTTTATCTATTTTCTTCCCTATTACTCTTACTGTGAGTGTCCTTAATCTCCTATTACAAAACCAACTTAAGGCTCCCATTCAGCTTGTTACAGCTCCAGAGACTATGAGACTTGGTAAAATGGAACCGATAACTGAGACAAACTAAAATCTCATGAAATATCCACATTTACTTAGAGCATCAGACAATGCATAATCTAAGGGGTCTTAACTGTCATATAATCAAAGATCACATGAGTTCAAGCTGTATCCAATCACAAGGACTTGACATATATTTTAAAATTTAAAATATCAAAATTTCTTCTGGGAATTCCTCCCTCCAAACATTCTAATACCCATGTTCTCTTGCTCTATTTCAAATCCATGACCTCCTTTTTCACTAATTGTTCTTACATACACATATGTATATGTCTCTACATTTGTATTCTTATATATAACCTGATCAGTCTTTGTAATGTCAACTTTGGCTCCATCACACAGATTATCTAATATTTAACAGGTGTTTTGGAGATTTGATGGCAAATTCCAGCAACTATAGAACCCAATACTAGAGTCTGCAAGTGGCTTCCCCAGAAATACCTTCTTGGTAAGACTCTGAAAAACAAATTCTGAATTATGACTAATTCTCTCTGATTCCTATATTTGTCTTTGTTGACTTCAAAGTACTTTATATTACACTTAGTGAGTAGATAATTTAAGACAAGATAACACATTAATTCTTATCTACTATGGACTCCATGTGCTCAACTGGAAATGAGTATTTCATAATTTGAGTCTCAAGTCAGAAGCAAATCTGAGAAAAACAGTTCTCTGTAAATTTCGTTTCTTCTTATGCTGAGACAAAAATATTTCAGTGAGATTATGAGTTTAAGAATATTTATGGGGCGGAGGCGCGACGATAGGTCCAACCGGACCGCCGGAGAGAGCGGGAAGCGCAGCAGGCGTGCATCCTCTTCCGCCCCGGCCCGGAAGGGTGATGTGGCTGGACCAGCACCGGCCTCACTATGTCTGCCATCTTCAATTTTCAGAGTCTGTTGACTGTAATCTTGCTACTTATATGTACGTGTGCTTATATCCGATCCCTGGCACCCAGCATCCTGGACAGAAATAAAACTGGACTATTGGGAATATTTTGGAAGTGTGCTCGAATTGGTGAACGCAAGAGTCCTTATGTCGCCATATGCTGTATAGTGATGGCCTTCAGCATCCTCTTCATACAGTAGCTTTGGAAACTACCAGCATGTGATTGCCATCAGACTGTAAACAAGGACTTGGCCTCCAGAAAATAATGGGAAGAATGGTTAAGCTGTTTTTCTCTGAACATGGAATGAGATAAATTTCAAGATGCTGTTCTCTATTTTTATGCTATTGGACCAATGAGCTGTATGAATAATTAAGATGTAACAGTTTAATACACAGGAATGTGATTGTAGCCATCAACCTCGGTTCTCTCACTCCAGTATTACACTCTGCAAATGTCATTCTGTTCTGTCAGGACTGCTTTTCCTAAGGTTCTCGAGGAATGAAGTAGAAACCCAGTGGCAGATTCCACAGGCTTTGACTAAGGCTTCAAAATAATGTCTTCACAGAATGAGACCTTCTAGTGACTGGCCTATTTTTATTGAGAAAAAAAAATTGTTCTATTTTTGTTGCTGTTACTGTTCTTATGGATTGCATTCATATTTAAACCCTTGTGATTGCTAACCAGAGTACCTCTATTGTTGGCAAATTCTGTAATTTATTACAGGTGTTTAAAATATTTTAAACAAAACTCTGTATTTCTTTAATTAGCATAAGAGTTGGGCTTCTAGTCACAAAACTATAGCTGTCATCCTATGACAGAAGAGTATCTTAGAATGAAAAACAGCAAGTAGAATGATGAGCGAGTAAGTGTCATGCCTTTTTTGTTCTCTGTAGTGTTAAGTCTTCCAAATAGATCATCCACTGTAGTTACCCACATGTGTAATTTGTGGTATTTGTAAAGCAGCACTTTAAATCTAGTTTATGTTCTGTCAGCTTGAACTGGAATCTCCTTTGTAACTTTGTAGGTGATGAACACATATCTGCTTAGACTGGGTACTATGCTCTAAGTATATTTCAGCTTTGACACAGAGTGTAGATAGACTTGAATGAAGCATACATGTCAAAGGATACATACTAGTTTGTGTCAAACATTTCTTCAGGTTCAGCTGAAAATTAGTTACTATTTCAAAGCAAAGAGGAATTAAACCCTAGCTGAAAACACTACTATACATAGCATTTATAATTACTGGGTTTGACTGCTTTTTTAAAACTTAAAAAGAAAAAAAGAACTTAAAAGTGAAGTTTCTATAAAAAGAAAGCATTGTACTCAAAGCCTTGTTTTAAAGCAGTATATCACTGTGTAGCCCAGCTAGCCACCAGAGCTAGCTTTGAAAGAGTGTCCTAAGCTGTACGGATTACAGTCCAGTCTAGCATCTAGGAAAACATACTTGGTGGGTTTTAGGGGTTGCTTGTTTTTCAAAAAGATCTTTGGAATGTCTATAGCTAGTTAAAACTGATCTACTTTACTTTGAATGGGAAAACAGGTTATAATTATTCTACTCTGAACTTCACCTTGGACTTTGTATTAGGTCAAGGATTTTCACTGTGTCCCAAAAGTAGGACTCCCTTGTCAGCATATTTGTGCACAGTAAGTAGTCACCTTTCAGAGTTTGATTTCTGGGTGGCCATCTGTTCATCAACTGAATTTTCCAGAAATGTTCTCGACTTTTTTCCTAAGTTAACACACATCTCATATAAAAATGGAGAGAATAAAGAATCTAATCTAAAAAAAAAAAAAGAATATTTATGTAGAAACATCTTTTTTCAGTTCCTCATAGTAAACATTTCTCTTTATATTTCTACAACTTGCTAATTAATGTTAACCTGAATTCATCTTATTCTAGGTCATCCAAAAACCAAAGCCTTTGTAACTCATTGTGGAGCAAATGGTGTCTATGAGGCCATCTATCATGGAATCCCTATGATTGGCATTCCTTTGATTGGAGGACAACATGATTACATTGCCCAGATGGTGGCCAAAAGAGCAGCTGTTGCACTGAATATTAGAAAAATGTCAAGCTCAATTTGCTCATTGCACTGGAGGAAGTCCCATACAGTCCTTCATGAGTCTAATCTTTTAAAATATGTATCATTCATTCATTCATTCATTCATTCATTCATTCATTCATTCATTGTGTTTTTAGGGAAGGCCAAATGAAAAAGAATTATCCTGAAGTTAATAATGATGATAGGAACAGAGATAAATTACAGCATGTTTCAATACACATATTATTCTCTCCTTTGTTTTTTGTCTTTTAATCCCTTGCTTTGCTTTAGGTTTCTTTGCTATGTAAAGCAGGGTGGTCTTAAATGTGCAACCCTTCTGCTTCATCCTGCACACAGCTTAGCTAAGAGGCATATACTACCAGAACTGACTAAATTTTCTTTTCAATTTTTATAGTAAAGTAATGTGTCAGAGATTTAAGCATAGTATACAATTTATATATTCAATGAGTAAGAATAAACAGAACATTGAGGGTGGATTTGAATATGTTATACATAGGAGTTGAAAGAAAACCTTACATGGGAGAAACTTGAATGTTACTATATGTAACATTACATGTACAGTAACTATATGTAACTTCTACGGCAATTATAACTTTCAGCATCAAAACACAATTTATGTGAACATAAAGGTGTGTAACTATCCATTGATTTAGTAAAAGCAGAAACCTATTAGAGTAAAACAAATTGATACTTCAATCATCATTATCCTTTGACCTAAAGAAAAACTCCAATTTGGAGCTTATTTCACAGAAAGGACTATTTATCTCTCCTGTGCTCCTATAATAGTTTTGAGCATTGTTATGGCTAGGGGGTGGTTTATCCCCTTCCATATTACCATGGTTATTGGTGGCAAACTTACTTAGACCTTGTTTTTTTTATTGGATATTTTATTTACATTTCAGATATTATCCCCTTACCCATTCCCCCTGAACCCCACCCAGGAACCCTCTAATCCATATCCCTTCTCCTGCTTCTATGTGGATGTGGCCCTACCTACTCTCCACTCCCACCTCCCCACCCTCAAATTCTGCCCCAAATGGTGTCCAGCCTTCATAAGACCAAGGATCTCCTCTTCCACCTATGCCCAACAGGTCTATCCTCCCTTACATATAGAGCTGGAGGTTGGATCCCTCCCTAAGTGCTCCCAGGCTGATGGTTTAGCTCATGAGAGCTCTGGTTGGTTGGCATTGTTGCTCTCCTCATGGAGCTGCAAACTCTTTCAGCTCCTAGAGTTTTTACTCTAACTGCTCCATTGGGAACACCTTGATCAGTTCAATGGTTAGTGTGAGCATCTGCCTCTGAATATGTCAAACTCTAGCAGAACTCTAAGGACACAGCTATATCAGGCTCCTGTCAGCATGTACTTCCTAACATCCACATCAGCGTCTACCTTTGGTGATTGCACATGGGATGAAAACACTAGTGGAATGGTTTCCAGACGGCCCTTCCTTCAATTTCTGTCTGACACTTTGTCTCCATATTTGCTCCCAAGAGTATTTTGATACTTATTCTAAGAAAGACCTAAGCACCCACACTTGGTCTTCCTTTTTCATGGGGTTCATGTGGTCTGTGAGTTGAATCTTGGGTATTTCAAGCTTCTGGGCTAATATCCAATTATCAGTGAGTGAATACCATGTGTGTTCTTTTATGATTGGGTTACGTGACTCAGGATGATATTTTCAAGTTCCATCCATTTACCTAAGAATTTCTCGAATTCATTGTCTTTAATATCTGAGTACTACTCCATTGTGTAAATGCACCACATTTTTTATATCCATTTTGTGTCCTCTGCTGAAGGACATCTGGGTTATTTTCAGCTTCTGGCTATTTTAAATAAGACTGCTACAAACATAGTGGAGCATATGTCTTTGTTATATGTTAGAGCATCTTCTGGGTATATGCCCAGGAGTGCCATAGTTGGATCCTGAGATAATGCTATGTCCAATTTTCTGAGGAAGTGCCAGGCAGATGTCCAAAGTGGTTGCACCATCTTACAATCCCACCAACAATGGAGGAGTGTTACTCTTTCTCCACATCCTCGCCAGCATCTACTATCACCTGAGTTTTTTATCTTAGCCATTCTGACTGGTGTGAGGTGGAGTCGCAGGGTTGTTTTGATTTGCATCTCCCTGATGACTAAGGATGCTGAACATTTCTTTAGTTCTCGGCCATTCGAGTTTTCACAGTTGAGAATTCTTTGTTAAGCTCTGTACCCTATTTTTAATAGGATCATTTGGATGTCTGGAGTCTAATTTCTTGAGTTCTTTGTACATATTGGATACTAGCCCTCTATCAGATGCTGGATCGGTAAAGATAGTTTCTCAATCTGTTGGTTGCCATTTTGTCCTATTGACAGTGTCCTTTGCCTTACAGAAACTTTGCAATTTTATGACGTTCCATTTGTCAATTCTTGATCTTAGAGCATAAGCCATTGGTGTTCTGTTCAGGAACTTTTCCCCTGTGCCCAAGTATTCGAGGTTCTTCCCCACCTTCTCTTCAATTAGTTTCAGTGTATCTGTTTTTATGTGGAGGTCCTTTATCCACTTAGGCTTGAGATTTGTACAAGGAGATAAGAATGGATTGATTTGCATCCTTCTACATGTTGTCCCCAGTTGAACCATCACCATTTGTTGAAAATACTGTCCTTTTTCCACTGGACAGTTTTAGCTCCTTTGTCAAACATCAAGTGACCATAGGTGTGTGGGTTCATTTCTGGGTCTTCTATTCTATTCCATTGACTTTCCTGCATGTCTCTGTACAAATATAATGCAGTTTTTATCACTATTGCTCTGTAATACAGCTTGATGTCAGGAATAGTGATTCTTCTAGAAGTTCTTTTATTGTTGAAAATAGTTTTTGCTATCCTGGGTTTTTTGTTATTCCAAATGAATTTGATAATTTCTCTTTCTAACTCTGTGAAGAATTGGGTTGAAATGTTAATGGGGATTGAACTGATTCTGTAGATTGCTTTAGGAAAGATGGTCATTTTTATTATATTAATCCTGCCAATCCATGAGCATGGGAAATCTTTCCATGTTCTGAGATCTTCTTTGATTTCTTTATTCAGAGACTTGAATTTCTTGTCATACAGAACTTTCTTTGCTTGGTTAGATTCACACCAAGGTATTTTATATTATTTGTGACTTGTGAAGGGTGTCATTTCCCTAATTTTTTTCAGCCTGTTTATCGTTCATGTAGAGGAAGGCTACTGATTTGTTTGAGTTGATTTTATAACCAGCCACTTTGCTGAAGTTGTTTATCAAGTTTAGGTGGCCTCTGGTGGAAGTTTTGGGTTCACTTAAGTATACTATCATATCATCAGCAAATACTGACATTTAAACTTCTTCCTTTCCTATTTGTATGTCTTTGTTTTCTATTTGTTGTCTAATTG